GGAATGCCCAGAAAATTTCTGATTTCTTTCAAGAGCAGCTGTCCCTTGTGTATTTAAGCTAAAAGGGTGGGAGAGAGAGGGGACCTGGAGGATTGCAGACCAGCAGGCATTTACTTCTGCAGCCGTTCCATTCTGAAATTTGTGGACCAGAATTATTCGGAATTCATAGAATCACAGAATGATTAGGGTTGGAAGGGACCTTGAGATCATCTAGTTCCAACCCCCTGCCATGGGCAGGGACACCTCACACTAGACCATGTTGCCCAAGGCCCTGTCCAGCCTGGCCTTGAACACTGCCAGGGATGGAGCATTTACCACTTCTTTGGACAAGTTCCAGTGCTTCACCACCCTCACAGTGAAGAACTTCTTCCTTTGTATCTAACCTGAACTTCCCCTGTTTAAACCCATTTCCCTTTGTCCTGTCTCTACAGTCCGTGATGACTGCTTTTGCATCGGTTTCCTCAACTGACAGAACATCCTTATCTCTTCTGGTGTTTTATTAGAATTTGGGAGTCTCACTTCTGGGTTTGCATACATGTTCCCGACATGTCTGCAAACTAAGTTAATGTGAATGGCAGCAGCTTCAGTCAGGACCATGGTTTGTCTTTGAGGAGGGTATATATTTTGAACAAGTTCTGTTTTGGGATACTTGGCTAAAGTAATCTAGGGCAATATTTCATCTAAAGTCAGATGAGCTGTTATTTGTCAGGAAAGTTATATACATCAAGGGTGTTTTTCAAAGTTTCTCTGTGTATTTGATGTACAAGAAAGATCCATTTTGTCATCTTATGGTGATGGCATGTGATCTATGAGAATCAAGGATCTGTTATTTCTTATCCTGCCTTTTGTTTCAGCAGCTGAGAAGCAGCTGATCAAAGGTCCCATTAGTACAGCAGTGCTAATGCTACACTTTTGAGAAAGGTTTTCGAGGGGGATTTTTTTTTTTTATAGTTTAACTGAAAGCAGTTCAGTGATAATTCATTGACAGTGAAGACTTCATTTTCAGCTGAAGGGGCTTAGAGAGAGGTTCTCTTTAAAGGTGTATCTGTGAGAAAGATGTGGGAAGATTGTGTGCACTTTTCACTATGTCTATAAATATCTGGCAGTGAACATACCTGAGAAATGAATCTGGTATTTAGTCCTTTAGAAACATAGTACATTAATTCAGCTACTTGTTCAAATTCTGCTGTCTTTAAGTAAGGGCTGAATCTAATTCTTGGGATGGGACTCCCATCTGAAATATTGCCTGTATATTTCCTTGAGAATCCTGGTGAGGAATATCCTCTTCGTATTATTTCTGGCCATGTTTGCTACCAGGGAAGTCCACCATCTTTCTAATCACAACCTTTCTTCTGAAGTTACTTTGGCACTAGCATAATGGTAAGGAAAGTATATCAAATCACATGTAGTTTGAATTAAACATAAAATGTGAGTTCATACCGACCAGCCATGCACTATTATCACCAGAGGAAGAGAGGCATTGAAACTGCATTTGTCAAGAGTCTCCAACTGATTATAAGAAATCTGACAGTCTTCTTTAGTTGTATCTGTATAGAGTCGAAATTTGGTTGCAAAGTTTTGCTGATCTTTCTTTGTTCTAGTGTGCTGACTCTGCGATTCCAGTGACTCTGAAATGAGATTCATAAGAATAGAAGTCGTCACTAGTGAAACACAGTTTATAAGACAGAGTAAACTAGTAAGATTGAAACTTTAGCTGTATATAATTCCTGCCTACTCCAGGTGGGCCTAAGCTGTACATTTTGGGTCAAAAAAGTGGTTTCTTTCAAAATTTGAGATGGTTTAAATGTGCCTCCGAGTCCATCTATTTGAACAATAACAGTTATACAGGAAATCTTCATCTTATTGCTACGTGCCCTTATAGAACGCATAAGTATTTTAAGAACCCAGCACAGGTGTTGTGACTTTACAATGTTAGTGCTTGCACAGGCAAGCACATTCATAGGCTATTAACTCTGCAGGGCATATCTTACTAATGTGCATTTGCTAGTAATTGCTGAGCAAGCTTCATTACACTAAAATAACCATTTCATTCAGGGTTATAACTCTGCTTGGAAACTTAGGTTACTGCATAAATGACATAACACATAATACATGATTCTTTTTCTCTAAAAAGGCAAGATGAAATGGTCTTGTTTTAGTTGCAGTATTTTTGGTATTTTTGCTTTTAGGTAGAATAGCTTGGTACATATAGGATAGCATTTTCAGAAATGTCTGTTAACTACCTGGGATGCTATCTATATTTAAGAAAGTGGGGGCAAAGTGAACTGTGTACTTATCAACATTATGAGCTTAGAAGGAAAAACATAAATATAGAGAAATTGCTGGAAAAAGGAGTAAAATAAAGCAGAAGCTTACGAAAGCACATTGTGACATGCAAGCCTGGTGTTTCATTCATTCTAATAAGACTTCAGACTCTTTCAGTTACCTGAAAATACATAATAAACTATTCCTAAACTAGAAGAAAATGGATGTTAGTAGAAGTGAAGTTTTGATGGACTAGACAAATGAGAGCTTATAGTTCTTTGTGTTGGAAAAGAAACTTCGAATGGAGTGTACTAATGGAGTTCCTTGGGGACTGTTTTTTTGGCTAATCTTGTTTTGCTATTTTCATTAAAGAAGCAGGAAAGGTACAAGACTGACAAAATTTGGGAGGCACTTCTAATACTGAGGAGACCAAAATGTTAAACACTAAGAGCTAGATCACCTTGAAAATATGACAACAGAAACAGGTTGAAATCTTGTCCTGTGAAGTGCGAAGTCATGCACTTGGTAGGAATTTCTTTAAAAATGGAGTTTATAAATTGGACTTGACATAAGGGGAAAAACACTTGACTGTAGTAACCCATAACAAAACTGACTATGAGTCACTGCTGTGATTTGGCTGTGAGAAAGGAAAACATAATTCCAAGATGCACCAAGGAAGATGTTGTGGGTAGGAAGAGAGAATGTTTAGTGCCAGTAAGTTATTATTAACAACATACGGAGCAGTGTGCGTAGTATTTTATTCACTGAGAAAGAAGTTAAAATTACCTGTGTTGGACAGAACTCGTTAGTTAAATTTTAGTTCTTGTATTTTTCTTGCATAAAAGTGACTTAATACAACATTAATATTAGAAACACCATATTTTGTCTTCTAAGTCAGCACATTGCTTTTGTACATCACAACTCTTATGTGTGTAGATGCTTTCAGAAAACATCTAAAATCATAGTATATTCATTTCTATATTCTATCTGGAAATGCATCCTGAGGTTCTCTGACACTGTTGTCTTGATAGGATTTTGATAATTTACAAAGAACTTCTCATGCATTTATAGATGAGTCTTTACCCTGCAAGCAATTTTGGTGATGGGAAACTCCCATACTCATATATTTGAGTAGCAGCTTGTTAAAATGCACAGTACAAGGAATCCTAATGTGAAAGCGTGCTGGATTTAGATCAGACTATTTTTGCCACATGTCAGTCTTGTTAGAAATTTTACTCAAGGTTTTATTTTAGTATAATGATATGACATGATACAAACAGCACATTTAATTTGGTTAAGTGAATGGCAATTCTGGCAAGAAAACTCCCGAGCTGAACTGCACTGGATGTGCACTGTGTTCCCTTTGTCCCTAATTATTGTACATTCCAAGTAACTGCAGGCAATGTTATGTTTCCTAGCTAGGAAACAGTATTGTATAAAGTTGTTCATCCTTTTATGAGAGCTGGAATTTAAAAAGCTTCAAAGATAGTGAAGGTTTGGTTGTCAAAATTCTTAGCTTTGACGTCTCACATTTTTCTTAATGGCACTTTTAACTGTGATAACTGGCTGGGACTAAGTCTGATCATTTCTCTGTTACAATGTCTGCTTAACAGCATTTCTGTTAGGTTTTTTTTTTGCTGGGAATGGACTCAGTTTCTGAAGAAAGTAATATTAGGAGAAAGTGAATCTAGATAAACAACTGAAAATTAGAGTTCTAATTATGGTGTTATTCTCTACCTCTGTTATTTTCAGGCTTTTTTCAGGGGAGAACTCCCTACACAAAGATAAGTATTGTGCTCTATTTTTAGCCCAAAGAAAAACAAACCAAAAAAAAGTAACTTGTGCCTGTTACATTGTACACATCCTTTCTTTGTTTTATGCCTTGTTTTAATTTTCCTTTCACTCTGTTTCTGCAGTGCAAAGGCGCTTTGTCACTTTCCGTATTGCTTGTACATACTACAGAAAACAAGCCTAATAAATAGCTGTTTTCTTTATACATCGACTGTGAAAGTGCTGTGGTGCTTTAATGGGTGAGCTTTTGGCTTGCTAGTAAGTCTGAGATTAAAAATACAGTTTGAACTTCTTCATGGCTGTCAAAAATTAAAAGTTCCAACAGAATCTGTTGTGTTACTAGACAAAACTGCTTCAATCTGTTAATCCATGTGATGGCTTGGAGAAGAAAATAGTCTGAAGAGTTTGGCTTCTACAACAGGCTTTTGCTAAAAATGCCATACCAGTGACTCAGTGACGTGATTGAAGGGAACTGCAGAGTTTCATAGGTCGGTTTACAAAAACAACAACATAGAACTGCTTAAAATTTTCCTGTGCTAACTAGCTAAGAGGGCCAAGATCTTCCTGAAACTCAGAAAGTTTCTCTTTGGAAAATTAGCCCTTATCTGACTTAATTTGGTTAAGGGAAGAGTGACCGTCACCTGAACTTGTGCAAAGTGTTTGACACTGTCCCGCACAAGATCCTTGTCTCTAAACTGGAGAGGCATGGATTTGATGCATGGACCACTTGGCTGGATGGTCCCCCTCAGAGCAGTGGTCAATGGATGGATGTCCAAGTGCAGACCAGTGACAAGTAGTGCTCCTCAGGGGTCGATGGTGAGACCAGTGCTGTTCAACATCTTTGTCAGTGACATGGCAGTGGGATTGAGTGCACCTTCAGCAAGCTTGCTGATGGCACCAAGCTGTGTGGTGTAGGCAGGACCAGGACACTGGCCAGGGTTTGAAACTATGAAATGTCATAATGTGGGGGGGAGGGGAGTGATCCAGAATCTAAATGTATTTCTTTTGATAGCATGTCTGGACATAAAAATACAATTACAAAATACCTGCTTCATGCCACAAAATTTTCATAAAGATGTCAGGAATGAGGACAAAGTATATATATATAATGAGGACTATATAATGTTAAGAGAAAAATGTTAATATTGTGAAGTCATGCATTTTAAACTAATCTTATGGTAAAGCATAAAATTTGATTAAAATTGGAATTCCCAGTTAAGGAAAGCAGCTTTTCTGGCAAAGAAAACTAATGTTTAGCATCCTTCTTCCTGTCACAGAATTCTACAGGAAGAGTTTCTCAATAAGGTCTCACTGAAGAGGGTTAAAGAGGAGGTTTCAATGACACTCACCTAATCCATAGGCAATTGAAAAATTAAGTAAGTAAACCTGAATGGAAGCTGAACTTTGGGTTGCTGGTATGTTAAGGTTACTTAAGAAACCATGCATGTGAGCATACACACACACCCCTCTACCTAAGCACAGCACAGTTTTTCTGATTGCCTTTTCACTCTTACTGCAGCACTCCTTCATGTCATGAGTGGATTTGTCTGAGCTTTAATAAATCTCCTGTATCTTTTGGATGGCTTTTACTGCCTTTCATTCATGTGAATGTTTTCAGAAGAGTGCTTATATATTGTGATGTCATTTTAATTTGACCAGTATCCAAAACACTTAAGGAAGAAATGACAACTTTTGTGGTCTTCAGAATTAGAGAATTCTATTGTGAATGTTAATGTGACATGTTAATGGTTTTGTTTGGGCCATGGAAAGTGAAGTACATCGCACATCCCTTCGTTTCCATAGCTAGGGGGGGGTTTATCACTTAAAAAAAAGCAAGTGACATGGGAGTGTTCCGGTCTCCCAGTTTGACAAATGCTTCCCTTAGAGCTATTTTTGCTTGAAGCATGGTTGTTGGTGATCATGCTGGATATGGAAAATCCTCTTCAGGAACCCCTTTTACTTTGTTTAGCAGTGCCTGTGGTAACCCCCAGACGGTGTGCTTACTAAGGAAAGCCATTTGCTGCAACTGACACAAAATGACACAAAGAAATAGTGGACTATAAGTATACACGTTGTAATGGACTCCTAAATCTAAAAATGCTACAAAATCTAAGCACTAGTGTGTAAAATGGAGATAAATTGTGTGTTTAAGTTGCTTGATGTTTACCTAAGCATTTGATAAGCTGTGGGCAATAATTTTTGTACAATACTGGACACAAAATCAGGACCAGAATTCTGCTATTTAGAAATGTATCCTATAGAAAGGGTGATGGGAAGGGATTTGAAACATTAGGCTGGCATTTGTTTGCTTTTATGTTACTGATTTACAGCACTAACTTGAAGCAGGATGTGGTCCATTCTTTATTTTGTTAAGGTTCATATTTAAGTACTTACATATAAGGTGGTTTTTATTGTTTATGTCAGTTGAAGGCTTTTGTATGCCATTGACTGGCAGTTGAGAGTTTCATCTCATGTAGTTCCTAAGTGAGTACTCTAAACCAGTGTGTTTTGGGGAGGGGGAATTCTAGGTCTTTGATTGCTTCAGAATCCCAGGCAAGATAAAGCAACCAAA